TGACATGTTAAAATGCAGCTAAAAATGTGGTTTTTACATATAATTATTCTGGTATTATTGGGGAACTTTCCCTTAATTACACACCTGTCCTGGACAATTGGAATGGGTCTAGTTCCCGAAAATATGCTCTCGAAAAGACTCTAGTAAAATTAAAACGTTGATACTGAATGATTTACGCATTGTCATGGGTTGGAACTTGTTACCAGAGGTTTCTAGGGGTTGCCAATTAGGAATCTGAAGTTAGTTTTACGAAATTCAAAATGGCGGATCCAAAATGGCGACCAATTAAAAAAAAATGATTGGATTTGTTTGAAACTCTTAACCGCCAATTTGAATTTTGAAAATCTGACATCAGATTCGTAATCAGCAGCCCCAGAAACCCATTGGAAACGTGTTTTAACCCTTGACAATGTATAAAACGTTCAGTATCAACGTTTTAATTTTAGTACTTTTTTTAATTTGATCGCCATCTTGGATCCGCCATTTTGAATTTAAAAATATTGACTTCAGATTCGTAATCGGCGACCACAAAAACTCTCGAGTGCCGGGCTTCGAACAAATCCAATCATTTAAAAAAAAATGGACCGCCATTTTGGATCCGCCATTTTGAATTTCGAAAAACTGGCTTCAGATTCCTAATTAGAAACCACAGAAACCCCCTGCTAACAAGTTCCAACCCATGACAATGCGTAAATCGTTCAGTATCAACATTTTAATTTTACTAGTGTCTTTTCGAGAGCATATTTTCGGGAACTAGACCCATTCTAATTGTCCAGGACAGATGTGTAATTAAGCGAGAGTTTCCCAATAATACCAGAGTAATTATATGTAAAAACCACATTTTTAGCTGCATTTTAACAAGTCAAGAAAATAAAAAAAGTTGAGAACATCAGCGTTTTTATAAAAAACCGACCAACGCGACCTCTAAGAAAACTTTTTTTTCAAAATAAAAAAACACGTTTCTCTTGTTTTATCACAAATAACAATAATTTGAGGTAGCGTTTATGAATGTCCAAAAAAAAATTTTTTTAACCACTCTAATATATATGTATATGTGTACATACAGAAAGAGTATTTATTCTTGTTTTTTAAAAGCGATCGGTATATAAAGGGATCAAAAGTGGAAAATTGGACGCATGTTCCGTTGCGACTGCTCCCGGAGTCAGCCCGGATTAGTCGCATTTTTGTAGGGTACATACATACATTTATATAAATATAAGTTTATACATACATACGTACCTGAGTAGTTAGGCAAAGGTAAAGTATTTGCTGGGGAACCATGTCTGTCTACCACATATATATTAACTTGCCGGCGTAAATCACACTTCGCCTTTTTACTATTTGTTTACTAAATTTCGCTCCAATGCCGACTTGGGGTTGAATTTGAGAACTAAAAAAGTGCCACAAATAATTTGAAATTTATTAAAAAGAAAAAACTATCATGCCACACTCACGTTTTCCAGTGCAAGTTGCATGCAACAATTTAATGGTTAATGTTATGATGGCATATGTGCCATATTGCAACATCGTGATTATTTATTATCATATGTGTGTGTATGTATGTAGGGGCATTTATTTAAGTGTAGTTAATTTCGCAGCATCGCATTGAAGAGAGAGCATAAAATTCGTTTTGCCACTATACATATGCCTACAAACATATGTACATACCTACTTACTAAAAGCAAAATCGTTAATGCCAAAAGTTTGGATGCGGAAGGAAATTTCATACATTAAAAAAAAAAAACAAAGTTGAAATATATTTTCGCCGCTAAGAGGTTAGGTGACTTAACTACTGTCTCAAATTGAAAAAATAAGTGAACAAATCTCACTTGATTTATGATCGTAAATTTACCAGTCCTCCTCGTGTTTGTAACATGCAACACACACTAATTGAATCATGATTGCCAGCGCATCGTAG